TTCCAATCCAGCACCAAGCTTTCCTCTCCTGCACTCTACGACGTCGTTGTTTGGCGTCCATCCTCGTGGCGGTCCGCATTCTTCCCAACTGGCTATGGATTGTTGATTCAGGGTGGTTGGACTGTTGTGCAGGCACTGCTGTCTCGTTTCGACCTGATGTGGCTCATACTTGACAGGCCAGAGGAAGACACGGTGAGACATCTTGAAGCTGCATAGTTGCTCCATCCTGTTGAGCGATTGCGAAGCCCAAGCGGGGGATATGCTATTTAGTGCATGCTGGAACAGATCGTCGCAAATGATTAATAGCTGAAGGCAAGGCGCGCCCTTGCACAAATGGAGAACTCTCGCATGCCTGCCCACATCACATCTCTCCTGCATTGGAATTTCTCCAAAGTTTCGTTTTAAGAAACACGTTGTTTTGCTCATGAGTCTGTGTGGCAACAAGCTGCGATTTCACACAATGCATCGTTCAGTGCCACCATCGAGCCAAACTACTCAGAAGGCGTGTATGATCATGTGCCGTGCGCCGCACACGAATATGGAAGAGAGCAGCCGCTGAAATTAGACGATTTGAATTGTTTAATGATTGTAGCGCTCTCCAGCACTTAAGAGATTGAACTCCTAAATATAGTTTACATGATTCTATATGGTTGTGCACAATTCTTCCTTTTCGGGCGAGGACAGAAATTGCGTGAAATAAGCCATCCTTTCCCGTTGAGAGGAGAACAAATCATGCAGTCTCCACTACGCTTTGTGGCCCGCATTTCAGCATCGGGACCGCGCCCGAGAGCCACCAACGCAGAGTGTCTCACCTCATGCGCCCCCCCCCGGCCATGAAACCTGCCACGCTGTGGGCCGCTCGCACTCTCTTGCCGAATTGGAACTGTCTTTGTCGCCTTGCACGCTCTTGCGCGGTGGCATAAGGCCCACTATCCTGTGATGGGACGGGGCAGGCACCTGGACGCCGAAGTGTGATGTAGTACTTTGGAATCAAAGTACCAAACAAGAACTGTCGTTGCCTTCGACAGGACGCAGCGCTCGCCGACCACGTTTTGAAAGTTCACAAGACGGGCGAGCCTCCCGCGCCTGAGGACTTCGAGCCGCTGACGCCCCGCCAGCTGAGGGCGTACATCAGGGCCGCAAAGCAGTACAGACCGACGGTGCCTGACGAGCTCACAGGTGGGGATCGCACATGTACGATATGTACGAGATGTGCATATCCCTCGCGTCGCGCCGTTTCAAGCAAATGGTTCAATACTTGGACAATGCGTGCAGGTGCAAATACGCGCATTCGTTGTTGCTTCACTTCTTCATTTCTTCATTTATTTATTTCGATGTTTCTTCATTTATTTATTTCTGTGTAACGAATATTATATCTTTATCAGTTCTTGCCGCACAACGAATATCATACTTCAATGTGCGCATAACTGACAGTATCATAGAGTGTCTACAATAGCTGCAGCTGAAATCTCGAGGAAAACCGCAAGGCCATACAATGTTTTGTGATGTTTCACCTTGGCACTGATTCCTAAGAAATGGCTTTGACGCTGGCTGTTGCGGAACTTCATGCCTGGCTGTGCTGGACGAACGACTGATGAGCACAGTGTTGCAGTTCTTCCTATTGCTTATTGAAATTTGATCATTCATACCAAGCGGGCTACGAAGACTTGTGTTAACTGTTTGATGAACATTGACACCACGTGGTCGAGGAGCTGACAGAGGCGCAATAGTACATTTCTACTACTAGCAGTAGCAGTACTAGCAGTTTCTACTAGTAGTAGTAGAACACGTACTAATGAAAAAAGCGATGCAATCTTACAGGCTTACAAAGTACTTGCAGCAGTTGACTAGCTCCAGTTGGACTAGCTGACCACTGCAAGCGTGTTGTAAATCTGTAAGGATGCATTTTTTTGCATTTTTTTGTGGTGCGAACGTTCATATTAAGCGAATTATGAACGTTCATTCTGATGAAATTATGGGCGATCATTTTGATCAATGACGTACTGTGGCACAGAGTACATCGCGGGCGTGTATGCGGAGCTTCGGTCCGATGAGCAGAAGACGAAGGTGCCGCACTCATACACGACGCCACGCACGCTCATGTCCATCCTCCGCCTGAGCCAGGCGCTGGCGAAGCTGAGGTGGGCTTTGGCGCTGAGGCTCGTCCATCATAAACAGTCCCCCTCTGTAGAGCGGTCTCCATTGCGCGGCGCTTTTTCTACTTACTGAAACAAGGCTGGCGCACTGCAGTGTTGTTTCTAAGAAGTTTAAAGATTTTCTAAGATATTCATGCTCAGCATCCCATCATCATCAGACGGTCACTAACCCGGCGATTGGCCATAGATTGCCGCCTTTCAAGTACCACCAAATTACGAGTGTAACCGAAGCATGCTCTAAGGACCAAATGTGATAGTAGCTGTAATAGTTGCGGAATTGATAAATAAACAAATAGACAGATCAGCAAATAGAATATCGACAGCAATATTGTAGCGTAGTGTTATTGGAGCATCAAGTGCTTCAAGCACAGTCGAATAATAATCGGCGGGGTTGGGCCCTGGCTCAGGTTCGCGTCCACCGTTGTCCAGTCGGACGTCGACGAGGCCCTGCGCCTGATGAAGATGTCCAAGTCCAGCCTCAGCGACCGGCGCGGCCAGCGCGGCCGCCAGGACCCCGTGTCTGCCGTGTACAGGCGCATGAACGACCACTGGCGGCGGGACGCACGGGCGCGGCGGCACGGCATCCCCTTCGCCAAGATCCGGGAGCTGTGCACGGGGCTGGTGACCGACAGGGAGGTGAGGCGCCGGATGCAAAAGCACGTTGTTCGGCTGGACAACAGTGGGGCCCAGACCGTGTTCTTTTGCAACCTGAAACAGTGTAGCAGGATGGATGGAACAAGTCGCTGTCGTGCAATTGCAATCCGCGTTGAAATGGCGTTGTCTTTTTGATATTCTTGTGTCAGTGCAATTTCACGCCAGCTCCTCATGATATGGCGCAGCATACGATTGTTTCTGTAGTGAACGCACATTCTGGAAGTGCCGTTGGGACGGCGTTGTCAGTGCCATTGTACTCGTCATCACCTTGGAGGTTGGCAGGCATCGCTGTTCTTAATGCTTTGTTGAGAGTACTGGCAAAATGGCTGTTTTTTCTGCCCAGGGTCCCGGTGCGCTCATCAGGCAGTGCCTGGAGGAGTACAGCGATCTGGGCGTCATCGTTGTGCAGCGTGATGCCAGCGGCCAGGAGATCGTTCGTTTCATCGAGTAGACCCATCGTTGCATGGAACTTCAGGGCACGGTGTGTTAGGCGGGGATTCATGCTACTCGTCGAGCAGATCCATTCCTGTGGCAGCAGGCTGTTTAGAACATGTGTTAGTTATGTCCCAGAATAGAGAGAGGGTCTGGATGGCGTTTTCAGATTGGTGTAGTGGATGTAGAATGGAAGCATTGCTGGTGAGGGCAGCAGGGTAAGGTGCGACTGTAGAATTGGAGGCAAGTGGGCAGGCAGGCAACGTTGCAAAAAACACAACATTTCAAGTCCTCTGTAGGCGCTGACCTTAAATTGGACACAATTTTTTGTGCATACAACGATCGACGAACGCTGAGTTCAGAGCATGTTATTGACACGCTGCTCGAGGGTTAGGGTCATTTGACAGTAATAATCCATTATTAATTAACAGCAACGAACATGACGTGAAGGGGATGGTCGGTGGCACCACGAGCCATGTGCCCCCATTGTTCCTCGAGGTGACGAGTAACTCCCCAGCAATCGAGCATTCACACTGCGAGAGGTTGGCACCTGCAGGATCGTATGGCAGCTTTTGCCATCATCGCAGAGCGTCACGCAACAGCCTGTCGAGGCAGGCAGCCCAGCGGAGACGAGGTGCCGGTCGCAGGAGATCATGGCGAGCGTGCGCGCGAACGCTGGCGGCTTTCTTTCTGCCGGAGGGCGTAATCGGTTTCCAACTGGCTGGGGGCATTCCGCCTGATGCACCGCACCGGGGATGGCGCATCGAAGTGCTGGAAGTGACCCCTAATATTCTCAGTCACCTCCCGTACTGTCAAACCTTTCGGGGCGCCACTCTCAGGCCGTGCGCGACGCGGCACCGTGCATTGCACGGCAATGTGCGTGAAATGGCAAAGCGCACGGCAAGGAACCTGTGTTCACCAATGAGTGTCGCCCAGTTTTGGCACGTGTTCGGCATAGACACCGCAGGGGACCCAAAAGGACATTTTGAGGTTGAAGGCCTCGACCGCTTTAACGTTGCTTCGCAGATGTCGTCGCTGGCCGTGAGCGGGCAGCGTGTTGGCACTGTTGGGAAGAATGCAAGGCGCTGCGGGGCAATCGCTGTGAGGCCCCTGCGAAAACTGCGGGTAGGAGTCCCCGATGGTTTCGGGGTGACAGCAGAGGGCATGCTCGACGATCACCTGGAAATGCGGGACGCGGCTGGTGTGTTTATAAGCCACATGCCGGACGCAGCTTACCGTTCATAATTGCTGGCGCACAGCCAGAGGTGTCGTTGTCCAGGAGGCACCTCGAGAGGTATCTCCCATAAACTTTGGAAGGCTTTCGGCCAGGGTTGAGCAGCTGTGGACCGAGAAGCGGTTGCTGCACACATCAACGAGCAGGTGGAGTCGCTCCAATGCTGGACAGCTGCGGCGATGCACTTGTGGCAAAAATGAATCGCGGTCCTAAATGAGGACGCAGGCGCACAATGGACGGCGCCGGCCGGTCCCGTCGCAGCTGTGTGCAAGCCGCTCGTTAGGCCGTCAGGGACCAGCCCGGGGAAGGTCGGGCAGTGAGGCGTTTCAAAGGAGGGGACGGTGGGCATCTCCACGCGAACACTGTTACTGGACATGTGATTACTGTGAGTGTGACCGCGGACTGCACGATAGAAGGTGTAAAGCCATGATCCGGGAAGGTGGGGGCATCCCGGTCGACCAGCAGCGACTGATCTTTGCTGGAAGGCAACTGGAGAGGACGATCGCACGGTGGCAGATTACAATATGCAAAAGGAGTCCGCGCTGCACTTGGTGGCGGGGCTGAAAGTCGGCGGTTACGAGCCTCATCCAGGCAAGGATGAAGTCGTGAACCTGACGCAGTGCAGCCTGGGTCCGGAATTCGACTCCGACTTGGCGAACGTGCGCGCCGACGGCATGACATTCCACCGCGACGGGGAGGTGTACAGACGTCCTTGCGGCTGGCGGCGATACGCCCTCGGATTGCTGGGCAAGTACGGAGACGATGTCTGGCTGGGCCTGGTGGGGACAAGAACGTGCCCCGCCGATAATGAGTGGCCGGTTTTCTAACACGGCACAGAGAGGAGCAATTTCGGCAGGAGGGAAACTGATGCAGCGCTGGGCAATCGAGGGCCCTTCAGACGACCCTGGTGGCTAGTGTTGGGGCCTGGGATTGCCAGCAGTGTCAGTGATGAGGATATGGCCATTTGTGAGAAGCAGAGTGCCTGGCACAAAGGTTTCTTACGCCAATCGCCTGAAAGATTGCAGTTTGAACAGAAACCCCACCCCAAAATTGGAACTGACGAATCTCTTGAATCTATAATGGATTCCGTATGCCAGGCTGCCATGTAAGGAACATCCCTCGCTCAGCACTAAGCCCTGTTTCCGTGATGCGAACGTCGCAGTCCAGCCTCACATATCTGTGAGCTCGCATCAGCCAAAATCCCCCGCGTGCTTTGGGCTGACACCTACACACGTTAGCCAGCTCAGGGGTCGATGAGTTCCCTGCGGCCTGTGCGCTCCCATTTTACCTTACCTAAGCCATAAATGTCACCGCTTTCAAGGCTGTGCTCTGGATCAAGAAGTCGCAAGGGCGTCAAGGGCCCGCGTTTGCAGCACTAGGAAAAAAAGAGCAAAAGAACACGTGTTCAAACGTGTAAAAAGTTTACGGGTTTGTGTTATTTCTGTGTTCTTAGCGTGTAGAACTTTGATGAATTGTGTTTTATGTGTGTTCACAAAAGTGTTATTTGGCTCTTTTTTTCCTAGTGCAGGCGACCGAAGTATATGGCCTGTTTCATCATCCCCAAGGGCCACAGTGGACTCGCGCCCGCCGATTTCACACGGACCGCGCGATATCGACAAGCGCCCCCTTTTATTGGCCACACGAACAATAATGGTCCTGCCACTCCAATCCAACTGGAGATCTGCGACGCAATCTTTAAAGCGGTGAAGCCAGTTAATCTCTAATGGCCCGTTCGGTCGCCTTCGAAAGCTAAGCTTATCGCGAAACAAAGACTGGGCGGCGCTGTTACGTCCACATGCCGGTGAACAGACAGCTCAGAAGCGACGCAGACGGGGGTCCGTATAGCGCGCCGCGCCGCGATGTGCATAGCTTTGGGGTGGCGAGCCGACGGGCTTGATAGTGCGGGAAGTGACTGATCGTGACACAAGTCACCCATGGCACATCGATCCGCGCTGCAAAATCAGGGCGACGCAGGAAAGGAAGAACGCCACCAGCCAGCCGGAAACCGACCAGCCCCTCGGACGGAGGAGGCCGCCGGTGTTCCCGGCCACGCTTGCCATGCCCGCCTGCGACCAGGGTCTCCTCTTAGTGGGGCTGTCCGCCCTTGTGGGCCGCCGTGTGGCGGCCAGCAACGACGGCGACGGTGCCCATTCGATCCTGCAGGTGCACGGCTGGACGACGCCGGCTGGCCCCGTGGCAGTGGCGGGCAAGGCACTCGCGAGGCCGTCAAGGCCCACCCCGGGAGAGGGGGACGGTCAGACGGTGAAACATTTCGCGGAAGGAAGCAATACGCTCGTCTTTGTGGAAATTCGCCATGAGGGAAAGATTGCTCTGAGCGAAGCCTTGTCCGCGACTTGCACGGTGGCAGAGGTGAAGGCGATGATCCGCGACAGGGAGGGCATCCCCGTCGACAAGCAGCGGCTGATTTTAGCTGGAAAGGATCTGGAAGACGGTTGTATGTTAGCGGACTACCACTTGCACGATGAGTGGTGCGTCCTGCGCGTGGTGCCGAGATTGAGAGGCGGCGGCTCGCTCCGCCTCGGCGAGGAGGATATCGTGAAAGTGTCGCCGGACAGCCTGGCGCCGGAGCTCAACTTCGACTTCACGCGCGTGCGCGACAACGGCAGGACCTTCCAGCGCGGCGGGGAGGCCTACCGCAGGCCTTGCGGCTGGCAGCGATACGCCATCAGGGTGCTGGGCAAGTACGGAGACGATGTCTGGCTGGGCCCGATGGGGCCAAGGGCGTGGTCCGCCGATGGGGAGTGGCCAGTCTCTTACCACGGCACCGAGAGAACCGCCGCCGGGTCGATCGTTCATGTGGGGTACGCGCTGTCGAAGGGAAAGCGGTGCGCCTTCGGGCGCGGGGTTTACAGCACCCCCGATGTGGAAGTTGCGGCGAGGTACGCGAAGAAATTCAGGTGTGGCGGGCGTTGCTTCGAGCTGGTGATGCAGAATCGCGTGAACCCTACAAGTCTTGTGAAGATCGACGCAAGTAGGACGGGCGTGGGGGAGTTTTGGTTGAACCCTGCGGAAACAGACGTGCGGCCGTACGGCATCCTGATCAGGGAGGTCAAGTAGTGAAAGTGGACGTAGTGGTGGTGGTAAAAGAATGAGGAGGATGGTGAGCGGTTAAGGGGAGAACAGAAGGCAAGCGATGCTGTGCGGTCCACGGCCCAGCAAGCTACCCCTGGGTGGCATGTGCCAGGGTTGAAATGCCAGCGGTTCCAGTGATGAGGATATAGTCATTTTCGAGTTGCAGAATGCCAGACATGAGGATTTCTAATAGCAGTTCAGTGAAAGATTGAAGGCTGAACAGGGAGGCCACCCCCGAATTACAAATGACAGATGTTTTGAATTTGTCATGGAGGACATATGGGCGGATGCGAACATCCCTCGCTTGGAATTCAGCCCCTTCTCCATGATGCGAACGATGCCGCACAGACCTCCCATGCCTCTGGGATTGCCGCAGCCAAAGTACCCCGCAGGTCTTGGGCTGACCCATACCAACGGTAGCCAGCTGAGGGTTCCAAAAGTTTCTTTAAGGTTTTTTTATTCATGCGCTTGAATGTTAGCTTACCTAATCCATACATGTCTCGAATACCACAGAGCGCTCCTTGCAACGCTGTGTTCTGGATCATGACGTCGCAAGAGCTCCATTGGGTGCTCGCGGAAGCAAGTTTTTTCGTATCATGGCTATGCCGCGCGTGTGTCGCAACCTTGTATCGGTGGGAGCTGCTAACAGCGACGGGAAAGATCCACACTTGTGAAAGCTGTTCCAGTCAGCTTTTGGGGGGCGGAGTTGTCTTAATTCTGTCAGTCAGTGCATTGGAAACGCCACCCGAATTAAGGAAAAATCTGCTGTCAGGATTGTATGCGTTCAGTTAATCAGGAAATACTAGATATCAGGTACACGAAAAGAAATACATCTAAGTAGCAGTAGATTCCGTATTCCGTGACAGAAACATAGTGCCAATGCTGTATGACGTGAACATGAATCCCATAGTTGCCTCGGCTCACCTATGGTCGCTGCCATTGAGTGACTGGATTTTATGGTTTGGTTTGTGCCAATGGGCACAAAGCCGTCGTTGTTCAGGTTTTGTTGCTCAAACTTATTCAAACACCACACTTCACGTCGCGATGGCACTACCCGAGCGACCAAAACCACCTTTTACGAATGGCGGCGTCCGTGTTTCGGAAACTTGCACATTGCGGCATTCGCCTGCTGAGCATGGCGCCTATAGTCAGAATCCCAAATGCAAGCATGTACTTGGAATGGCCACAAGCTTTCGTGAAACATTTCTATCAAAAACAATGTGTTGAATTACAAATACTGCTCTTGAAAGCGTCAGTAATTTCCCCGGAAGCAGGCTTGGTTTTTACGCCGTAAAAACTGATCGTATTTACGTTTTTACGCGTAAAAATGCCTAAAAATACGTAAATACAACGTAAAAACTGTCCAGTGTACATAAGGACAGTACATACAGACTTACGGAGTCCGGAGAGTGGCAGCTAGGCGCCCTGGAAGGGGCAAAAACGAGTTTTTGTTAAGCATCATCATCACCCTTGCCAAGGCCGAGGTGGACACTGTGTTGCAGGTGCTGGAGTTGGCGGAGGATTGATCATTGTATGCAACTTTCATCATATAAACTGGGTGTCCCAGGGAGCCGTAAAAACGTAAAAATAGCCGTAAAAACAGGCCCTTTTGCAAATTTACGTTTTTACGCGTAAAAACGTAAACGTAAACGTAAAAACCAAGCCTGCCCGGAAGGAAGCTTGTGCTCTCGTGATCGCGAGATGGTCGCCGCAAATGCCTGCCAAGCCTTAAAGGTTTCTAGCAAACACGCACAGTGCGTGGGTGTGAGGGACAATGGCTACATGGAACCAGTGACAGATCGGGGAATGGCCAGTAATATAGTAGTACTATATTCTTGATGTCATCAAAAGGCCAATAGTTGCCTTGTTGAACACCTGGACGACCGCTGGTGTGCTGATTACAATACATTTCCATTGCTCATGAGTCAGAAGTGCCGAGGCCTGTTTGCATGGTTTCCTTACGAGGGCTGGTAAATGAATGCAAAAATTGCCGAAACTGAGCGAATAAACTCACATTTTAACGTTACCATGCATTGAAGCGCAAGGTCGACGTGATCGCTGCCCAACCCCATGTAAATGCGGTCGTAGGGAGGCTTGAGGAGAATGCGCACTGCACATCGCGCACCAAAGCACCAAGGCATACCCATGGGAGTCGGGATATTTGCGTCTAGATACGCACCAAAAGAAATAAACGCAAAGGTGGTGCTGAGAGCGCAAAGGGATCTGGACTGTGCGGGGCCATGTACTTGGCTTCCAGAATTTGAGGACGTGGTACGTACCGCGACCGGTAAGCCAACCACTCACTTGGGCTGCGGCCTTGCCTTGCGCAGCAGCGAGGAGTGCTGATGCTATCATCTTTCTGGCATCAGCGACTGTACACAGGGCGGCTGGTCGCACCACATGCCGCGATAGTATGCAATGGCGAAGTCTGCTTGGTGGTCAAGGAAGAGTCTGTGCGCCTTCAGGTTGTGCTTGATAAGAAATTTGAAGACAAGAATCTCACAGCCGCTGGCAGTCTGCTCACCACAGAGGCAAGCATGGGCTTAGAAGTCGGCCCTAGGAGAGGGCGGTAGGCCTACCGTCCGTTAAATAGCGGTCCACCACGGTACCGTTATTTGTACCATAAATTGGCTGAAATCGGGGCCTCGAGAATGGAAGGGGGCGGTGGGGAAGCATGACCCAAAGTGCTAAAGTGCCAAAGCCAAAGGAAAATTCAAAAAGTTTGCAAAACAACGCTAATATCGCACGATCAGCAGAACAATGGTAAAAGAATGGTGAAAAAACGGAAAATACCGTAAGGCATTCAGCGGGCGGCAGCGGGTGGCGAGGGCCGAATTCTACGTGGGTGCACACAGGCGGAAATCAGTGGCAGCAATGCGGCGCTAGCCGCCAGCCCATGCGCTATAGCGCCCACTCTAGCTAGAGTGAGCAGAGGATGATCGTCCGTTCGACAACATCATTGTCCTTTCTGCAGCCGGTGTGGATGCTGTGTTGGAGGTGCTCGAGGGTGCGGTGGACTGAGCATTTGCTTGTGACTTCATCATATAACATGCATAGACGCCCTTTCACTCAGTTTGGGACATTGGCTCCCGGTCGCAGATTCCATGCCATCACCAGAGCCAAAACGGCGAGAACAAACATGAAGCAAGACGAGCGATGTTCCAACGTCACTCCGGGCAATCAAACAGTGTTATGTTTACTCCTGAGATCGCTTTGATGGTCAATTGGAACGATTTGAAAACATTTACAAAACAAAACACAAAAAAGCAAAGATGTAAACTTGTTCCGAAATCACAGCCACAACTTCCCTGTAGACAACTTACACTGATCAAGGCACAATTTTAGAAGCACAGGATTTTCCACCAAGACTCATGCAGACACGAGTGTGATCGAAAAGGCATCCCACGAACCAAATCAACTCAAGTCACCAGAAGGCAAAGGTGGGACGCCGGACGGAAAGGATGTCTTGCAAGGCGCACAGGCAACCAAAGTACCCATTTTGTACACGTGACAAGTTTGTAACTCGTGTTTTGGGGATAACATATCATCCAGAGCGGCGCTGCGACGCACTGGGTGGGCAACACGTTAGAAATACGAAACCAACACTCCATGCCAGACCTCATAAACGCTTTCAGTGATTGTTGCAACGGTTGTTTGCTCAAGCCCTCTCAGGTAGAATCAGACGCTTTTTGAAATGCAGAGCAGTTGCAATGCATGAAACATAACTGACAAAGATAAACGGGGGTCGCTATGTGGCTACTTAGCGTATATTTGACATTCGCACATATGCAATTGTGTTCAACATATACGCACAAAATTGTTATGATAAAATGCGTCTTCCAAGTAGCCGGTGTTGCGGCCGATGCACGTTTTGTTGTGTAGCAAGTGATGGAAATGCTTATGTGATGTTCAAATGTGAATTTCATGCATTTAGAAGATCAAACTTTGAGGACCTGGTCTCCAGCAGTGCCTTGTTTTTTGACTGCGTCACCAGGGAACGCTATATAGGTACCCCTGCTGTAGAGGTACAGCTGTCATGTTAGAGGCAAGCATGTTGGAAGCGTCCTCGTCTAGAACTCAATCTGTGCCACCATGGTGTCAGCGATGTAGGGCAAAAACTTCCGGTATCCTTGGAATCGCCACAGCCAAATTTCCCTGCAATCTTCGACTCGCACTGAAACAAGCCGGGTGAAATGTTAATGAACTTCTAAACGTCCTGTGTGGTGTAAATTGCACTTAACTTTACGTGCCGCAAGGCAATCTTTACAAAAGTTGCAATTTGAAGTAGTTCGGATCAAAATGGGTGTAAGCTGTGAGGAGTGTGGTGAGTGGTGACAAGATTGCGACTGATTGTTTTACGACTGTGTCATAGGCGGACGCCACTATGAGCTGCCGACAGCGGCAAGCTATCGCAGAGGTGTTCCTGGCCCGAATTCTGGCAGTGCCCCAACACGAATACTGGCGACGAACAAAGGCAACAATGGTGGCAGAGCATGCTACTTCTGGGAGCACGATTCAGTGGTTTTGCAAAGGAGTATGATGAAACATGAGGTTAGAATTATATCAGCTCGATTAATAAAGAAATTGTTCATACAAAGACCATGAACTACAGTCGGATACGTATTCTGTTGGAGGAAAGCAAGGGTGTAAAGCACAATTATTTTGGCCAATGCGTGAGTCCGCCAGGAAGAGGATCCTGTCATTCAGACCCAGCAATTCTCGCAAACCGTCCAGCGGCCCGTTGCCGCATTCTACGTGTACTCACCCTCACCGCGCTAATCGGCGAGTGGGCGAAACAGTTGCAGGGCCGCCAGCCCCCGCGCACCACAGGCATACAATTACTGGCTGCACCAAATCGGTGACTTTCTGCACTATATCGGTGACTGCTTGCATCAACTCCCTCCAAAGCTTACCTAAACTAAAACGTAAACCCTAAAACCTAAATCTAAAACTGCCCTAACCCTACTCTTAACCCTAAAACTTACGCTAAAACTAAACCTAACCCTAAAACTGAGGTTAGGACATAGTGTGCGCGAGATTTAGCGCAGGCAGTCACAGATTTGGTGCAGACAGTGATACTATTTCCGCAGCGCAGGGCCGCCGTTCGCTTTTTTCGCCCCAGCTCAAATCAGACGACTCCACTCCCCCCAGGCCACCCAGCACCGCTCAAGAGGCCTCCCTCCACTCTCCCCTTCCCACCCTCCCCGGCCCTCCCCCTCCCCCATAATTGAACACTCCTCCGCTCGACCGGCTCGCTCCAACCGCCCTTGCTCGCCCACCCTTCCGCCATGCCTCCTGACATCCTGGATCCCACGCCCGCAGAGTCGTTGCTTGCCTTGGCCGGGCCGGTGGCCAGATGGGGGGCCGTTCTGCTCGCATTCTTCCTGGCCGCCCGGTTCGCGATCGACCTGATTGACTACCTGCGCGTGCGCAAGGGCCTCTCGGGCGTCCCCACCGCGCCCGGCTGCGACATCTTCACCGGCCACGCGCTCTCCCTGCTCATGGCCAACACGCCCTGGGAGCGGATGCTAGACTGGCTGATTGACCTGGAGCCCATCGTCCGATGGAGGCTCTTCCTGCGCAACTGCCTGATGGTGCGCCACCCGGAAATCCTGCGCAGAATCTTCCAGACCAATTTCAGGGCGTACGAAAAAGATTTGGCGAGCTACGAGCCGTTCTTGGCCATCCTGGGCACGGGGCTGGTGACGTCCAACGGACGGCTGTGGCAGCACCAGCGGCAACTGATGCTGCCGGCCCTGCGGGTGGAGATCCTGGACTACATCGTGGGCAAGGCCAAGGAGGTGGTGGACCTGCTGTCCGCCAAGCTGGAGGGCCTCAGGGGCACGGGGCGGGCGATTGACATGGAGGAGGAGTTCAGGCGGATCACGCTGCAGGTCATAGGCGCGGCGTGCCTGGACCTGCCGCCGGAGGAGTGTGACAGGGTGAGCGCAGGCGGGGGGTTGCGGGCAAGCGGACTGGCGGGCGATTTGCCTGGCATGTCTTCAGCTTTCATGTTTTTGCTTGTTTTCACTTTCTGCCCAGTTTGGGGGCCTTGCCGACCTGTCTTCTGGGACACAAACCGTCGATCCTTGGCTCATTTGATGCCCCAGAGTCGTGCCCCATTTGCAGGGAGCACTGCGCGCTAATCTTCGTTACTGGTCTTGGGACTGCATTCCCAGTTCATGTTGGCCAAGCCGCCAGTTTGGCAGATCTTTGTTACAAGGGCTGCTAAAGAATCGGCGCCTACTCTCAAATGGCATGCAACTTGATGGGGCCTTCCTGCGGTAAAATCTGCTATGCAAGGTCTTGGAAGCATCTAAGTGATAGGTGGTGCATTTGGCAAAAGACATGGCAAAGATGGGCCTTATGCCTCATCACTTGTTGTTGGCTGTTCCATGGGGGGGTTGCTGCACAGATTGGCTGGAACTCCTCTATTTGCACCTGTGAGGCGATGTTGGGTGTTATTCAGTTTCAAACGTTGCATGCTGGTCCCTAATTTCGACGCGCTCATGTTTTCGATTCCAGAGCAAGTAGTTGCATGTCCTACGTGTGTGCTTAAACTGTGCCGTGGGGAACCACACCTGCTGCATACAAGACAGTGCTGCAGTCACCAAAATGGAGGTCCCCTGGACACTCTCCTGTGCGGGGTTTGCTGTTTGACCCAGGTGAAGCATACAGACATTCTTGTGTGAGCGAAGTGGATGGAAGTGTGTTTGTTTGTCATTTGAAGCACAGGGCAGGGCTTCATTTGCATTTGGCAAATGAAGTTGTATTCCGTGTACAATTGAAATGGAGCAAACAAAGGTCAAGCTGCATTCTGCACGTGTGGCTTATGTGGGTGTGTGCAGCAGGACAGGACTGTGTACAGCAATATGTGCCTGCCCCAGCCCACAACCAACCCCATCCCGCCAACCCCTCCACATGGTTCCCTCAGCCCCAGAACTGCCTTGTACCAAGAAAGGTTCC